TTCGAGAGGGCTGCTCGAGCTGAAGGGATCCCCCGTATTTGGTGGAGATCCGCCGGCGCGTTCGCGAGATAGTGACACCAGTCAACACTTTCACTTCCGTAAGGAGGTCTCTTGTTCAGGCAGCAGCATTCAAGCGTTGTCTTATTCGATTGTAAGTGCCCTGCGAAGTGGACTTCACATGATATTCCGCCATGATTCCAGTTCCAAGGGAACGTACACGTTACATTCAAAGGGCATTAAAGTGCGCGAGAATTTATATTGTATTTATTTACAGAGGTATATTATGTCACACTTCACACTTCTCTAGTAAGTTTCGTCTGTGTGTGAAGACAGTGGCGCAAATCCGTGAATGAATGTTCCGAAGTGAAATTAACTTCAACGGAATAAAGTTGAATGGAACTGAATTGAATTAAAGTTGAATAAACTTCAACTTTACTGTTCAGTGCACTGATGTCAGACTCATTTTGAATAGTTTGTTAAATTGTTAAATGCCCTGCCTCCATCATTACATATCTTTGTCACGTCATTATAAGTGTTTGATCACCACATTTGAGTGATCATTGCAAAAAATTTGTTTATGTATATAGTGTATTCTATATATAGTACCAGTCAAATGTTTGGACACACGAATGGGAAAGTGTCCAAACTTTTGACTGGTACTGTACTATAATATACACAAAGAATATCGGCCGATATATTGATATCTGCCTTTTTTTACTCCCAAATATCGATATCGGCCCCAAAAAACCCTTATCGGTCGGGCTCTAGTTTCGAGTCCCACTTTCTCTGCCTGTTTTATCATCTTATGATAAAAATCTGATCACGTTTAACTTTCCCTCATTTGAGTTCACCCAAAAATGACAATTCGTAATTTACTTTCTTTCATGTTGTTCCAAACCTGTATAACTTTCTTTTTTTGTGGAAAACAGAAGATATTTTGAAAAATGTCTGTTTTATTAGTTCTTATAATGAACGTCAATGGGGACCAGTGTTGTTTTGGACCCCATTGGCTTTTATTGAAATTACAAAAACATTTAAAACATTTTTCAAAATATAATCTCTTTTTTTTAGTATTTGTAGTATATATATATATATATATATATATTATATAATGAAATAAAAGGCCACTTAAGTGTACTTAAAGAGAGACACTTTCATGACTGTTTCTTTTATTTATTATTTTAATTAGCTTTAATTTTTTATATATTTTTAGTTAGTTTAAAAGTTTACATTTTAGTAATTTTGTTATGTACTTTTTAATTTCTGTGTAGGTTTTTTTTTTCTTATTGTTAGTTAGTCATTTTAATACTTCAGCTTTAATTTTTCAGTTAGTTGCCAAGGCAATATTTCTCATAATATTTTATTTTATTTTTATAAATGTAGGTTTTTTATATAATCTTTATATTTTTGGTTAAGCTTCATTTCAATTACTTAAAGTGATTTTGTTAATGATAGCAACAGAAAGTCAGAGGTTAAATAAACTCCTTTAAATAAAGGAGTAAATAAACTGAAATTTTCCTTACTTGGTGAATGTTTTATTTTATGAAGTTCAAAGCGCATGACACAAAGGAGTTTGGGATGCCAGAGTAACATATTAACTGCATTATCCTACAGTATATATAATGTTTTTCATGGTCATTAGAGCATTGTTTCCTCTTGTTTGCCTTCATTAAATTTACCCAAAGTGATCACGGATGTTGCACGAGAAGGAGAGGAAACAGACATGGAGAGAAAAAGAGAGAAAGAGAGAAGGATGGGGTCATGGGGGGATGAGTGGGCATATGCCGGTTGTTAAGAAACTGAGAGAGATGAGGACCTACAGAGGAATGCTGGAGGGATGAGAGACGAGAGAGAGGGAGCGAGAGAACAAGAGAGGGCTAGAGGGCTGATATTTAATGTGATAAATGGATTGTGACAGCGTGTCTCCAAATCCCCTCCAACCAAAGAGGAAGACCACAGAAATAGAAGGCAGAGCTGGGGAGAGAAAAATTTATTTAAACAAGAAGGATAGAAAACGGCAAGGAATAGTGCAAAAATGACAAAACGGATCAAAAGTAACGTTTGTTCTTGTTAATATCGCCCCAAACTAGATGATGGCGTTACCAGGGATTCCCATAGGAATGTGAAGTTAAAGGGAAAGTTAATTCTCTGTCATCATTTCCTCACCCTCATGCCTTTAGTGGAACACAAAAAGAGAAATACTGAAGAATGTGCTGGTTGATCTTTTCCATACAATATTACTAAATGGGGCTTCATAATGGACACTAAAGAACTATAAATTATAACAAAAGTGCTCCATGTGACATGATGTTTGAAACTGTTGTTTTAGCATTATTTGCATACCATTACAGTATTTAATAATATTTTGAATAGGCTTTTGTTGATATATTTTAGCTTTTCCCTTTTAATTTATGTATTTGTGTTATGTGCTTCTGTCATTTTTATGCCATTTTGATTAGTTTTTGGTGTGTAAAAAAAGTGTTATTTTGTTTTTATTTATTTAAATAGTTGCCAAGTCAATTAATTTTCCTTTTTTATATTATCTTTATATAATATTATTTTGTTTTATTTTAACTATATTTCAAGTAATGAAAACACATTTTTTTTTCTCAATTTTCTTTTCTTGTTTTTAGTTTTACACACAAAAGAAATTCATACAGGTGGGGAAAGACATTTAGTGTTATTTTTGTATTAATTATATCTATTATAGTACCTTAAACTTAGTTGGCAAGGCAACATATCAAATTTTTTTACATTTTTAAAATTTTCTAAATTAAAAAAGTAAAGGTTTTCATACAATATTTATATTTTATTTCATCTTTATTTTAATGAATGAAAACTGTTAAGGCAACACATCAAATTTTTTTACATTTTTTAAATTTTCTAAATTAAAAAAGTAAAGGTTTTTCATACAATATTTATATTTTATTTCATCTTTATTTTAATGAATGAAAACTGTTTTTAATAATTTGTTTTAATTAACAATAACAACACTAGTTTGAAGCCAGTTACAATAGAAACAAACTACAATTTAAGTTGCTCTAATATTCACTGAAAATCATGACATCCGCCCTAGTGATTCATATATAACTGAGTCCTGAATCAGTTGATCCGGTTTACGAAAACCTTCAGAACGATTTGTTCATGGATCAGACTCATCTGGTTCTGAAGTTCAACTCACTTGATGATCTGGTGGTCAGAGACATTCTCAACTCACTGGAAAGGAAGACTGATCAGTAACAGCATTGAACTTTGAGCAGTTTCTCATACATATAGCTTTGAAGTTTTTCGAATATAGAACACAAGTTGTATGGACTACTTTTATGGTACTTTTCTGATTACTATGATGTGGCATTTTCAATCTTTTAAACTTAAAGGGATAGTTCAGTTCAAAAATGAAAATTCTAACATTATTTACATGCACACACACATTTTTGGGTGAACTATCCCTTCAAGTCCCCATTCCTTATACTGTAGTGCATGGAAAAGAGAAACTGGCACACTTCACAAGCTCTCTTTTTGTGTTTTACAGAAGAAAGACAGTCATACGACAATGTGAGGGTGGATAAAAATGATGACAAGACTTTCATTTTTTAACGGAAGAAAGAAAAAGAGAACAAGGAAGGTTGCAAACTGCTTCCTGATGGACTTGGAAAAAGGGAGGAAAGAAAGAGAGAGAAGCATTGAGCAAAGAAAAGAAGAATGCAGGGAAAATATGAGTTGCCCTTACTTAATTGACCACATTCTTGATTTCAGTCCAATTAAAGATCCACAACTCAGGCTCTGAATGAAAGCTTTCATTGTAAGTCAGTTCTTCAAGCTGGAGACTCGGGCTTGTCTGGAGTATCAAATATCCTCCTGTGTGTCAGAGAAAGAGAGCGACTCTGGTTGATACCATGTTTTGCGGGTGAAGAAATGTGTCTGGAATTTGGTATCAAGGGACACGTTTCTTCTTCCAGGGAACCACATTGACTTAGAAGAGTTATTGTAAGAGAAGCTGCTCAGTGGATGTAGGCGTAATGCTGCAGTTTCAGTCACTGACTCTTACGATTCTTGCTTATGTTTAGTCTGTCACATACTGTATTAACTTGTATTACTCTCAGTTTTAGTTTAAAATTCTGTAAATAAATTGTCATCATTGACTCACCCTCATGTCAAGTCCCATAGACTGACTGACTTCCATGGAACACAAAAGGAGAAGTTTAGAAGAATGTTAATGCTGCTAAAGACTCATTAAAAATCAAGTTCAAATTTTGTGTATGATATTGTTGCATTTTAACCTTCGCTGCATCAAACACATGTAAACTGAATTAGAGGCTCAGTTCTTTCAGTAATTGTACTGTTATTGTTATGCTTGTACATGACATTATTGATAGTAATTGAAAACTGTCTGTTGTGTTTCAGTGCGGACGGCGCGGTTCTCTCAGGAGCCTGCAGACCAGTCAGTGGTTTTGGGCCAGAGGGTGGTCCTGTCCTGCGTGGTCTTCAACTATTCGGGCATTGTGCAGTGGACCAAGGATGGACTGGCCTTAGGCATCGGAGAAGACCTCCGGGGTCAGTGATACACAGTGCTCTTTTTTTTCTTTCTGTATTTGTGCTTTTCCCTTTTTTACTCTTCATATTTGGTCTTTCATGTTTTCCACAGTTTTCCATGTTTTTCTATCTAACTTTTGTCCCAGGACGCTTTAGCAACTGCTTAACCTCTTTCTTTCTTTCTTTCTTTCTTTCTTTCTTTCTTTCTGTACTTTTCAGTTTTTCTTTGTACACTCTTTCAGTTTCCTCTCTCATCTCTCACTATTTTCCATGTTTCCTGGTTTGTTTTTTCTAATTTTTGTATTCTCTTTAACCATGTAACAACACACTAAAAACCACTCAGAATACCTGAGCAATCACATAGCAACACTATATACAACCAATAGTTTTTAAAATTGATACTGAATGAAAACTAAAATAGTGTTGAACTTTATTACAAAAATAAAAAACACTACTGACCCATGAAAAATGTATTGAAATTACACACACACACACACACACACACACATATACATATATATATATTTATATACATAGATAGATAAATAGATAGATAGATATCTTTAAATAAATTCAATTATAATTACAATTTTATTAGGGATAAAAATCTGCCTCAGCTTCTGCTCTAAACTATAGGGAGCCCTTTTACATTACTATAAGGTTCCCTTTCAGTCGGTCACTACGAGTCACGTCGTGACCGACGAATTGGGATCTCGCTTCGAGAGACCAATCTACTTCGAGTGTAACTAAACGAGCCAATGCACATTGGCATGCAATTATTGCATCCAGCTGCCGCTGATCACAGTGTGAGCATAAAAAGGCAGCCAGTGCAATGCATACCAGCTTTTCGCTTCGGAGCCGAGCGACAACATCGTTCTGCTCCAACCAAGTGTCTTCAGTGAGCTATGAGTTCAACGCGTGCTTGGAAGCTTCTGGTGTTGGCGGACGGCGCTTCAGCAGTGGTCGTTCCTGTATCGAGTGGGTTGCGCACTTCAGGCTGCACTACCCCCTGTTGTGCTGCAAGTGGCCATTTCCCCTGTGCGCCTCAGCACTAAAAGAGCATTTCCCTGAAAGAGCAATTCTCTAAAATAGTACAATAAGTGGGTGCGTCTTTATAAAGACGATGGATCGTCTTTTTAAAGATGCCGTTTCACCCGTGCGTTTCTGGGTGCGGTCGTTACCTGGCACCGGGTGATGGTCA